CCCCATCATCAGGCCCGTTTCTTGTCTGAGTGGTGAGGTGTCCGGGGAGGCGCCCATCCCTGGAGTCCCCAGAGGCCCCCAGTGGCACAGGGGTCCGCCGGGAGGGCAGGTAGCACAGATGGGGGCAGCCGGGGGCAGCGTCCCTCACACCCGGCTGGCAAGCTCCCTGGACAGGGCGGCCGTAGCCCCCTGCCCCCAGCGGCCCCTCCCCGCTCAGGCTGGCGAGGGTCTGAACCTGACAGGAAGAAGCTGGCAGGTGCCCCCCCCCCCCAGTGTCACTGTTCAATTCTGTTCAGACTCCTCATCCTGGGTGGGGAGGGACAGGCAGAGACAGGAATCCAGACTCCCTTCCTCCGTGACTTTGGGGAGCAGTGAGCCTGGTCACGACGGCTGGGTCACCTCGTGCGTCCCCTGTGGGCACAGACCGTGGCTTGTGATTTTTGGTCCTCACGCACGGTCTTCTTGGGAGGTGGGTGGAGAGCCCCCCTCTGCAGAGGGGGAGACTGAGGTCCTGGCTCCACCAGGGTCCCCACCCCCCACCAGGATGGGCAGCCCCTGGCCGGGGATCTGCCCGCCCTCATGGCCCATGCCCTGGTCCCCAGTGCTCCACCACCTGCGGCCTGGGTGCCGTGTGGAGGCCCGTGCGCTGCAGTTCGGGCCGGGAGGACGACTGTGCCCCCGAGGGCCGGCCCCAGCCCGCCCGCCACTGCCACCTGAGGCCATGTGCAGCCTGGCACGCGGGCAACTGGAGTAAGGTACGTGGGCCTGGGGTGGGAGGCTCCCGGCTGCCGTCCTGTGCTCATCCGGTCCCCTGCCTGGTCCCTTCTCGGTTCCCTGTGACCTGCCCCAGCAACCCCCCCCCCCCCCCCGTACCTGCCGTCACCCTCGGGACCTCATCGTCACCCGCTCTACATTGCACTCTGTCCACCTGCCCCGGGGCCGGGCGGAGGATGGGGTTCCGCGGGCCGCGTGCGCATGTGCGGGGGGTACGCTCACCCATGCGGCTCGGCCCGCAGTGCTCCCGCAGCTGTGGCGGAGGGTCCTCGACGCGGGACGTGCAGTGCGTGGACACGCAGGACCTCCGGCCTCTGCGGCCCTTCCACTGCCAGCCGGGGCCGGCCATGCCACCGGCCCGCCGTCCCTGCGGCGCCCAGCCCTGCCTCAGCTGGTACGTCTCTTCCTGGAGAGAGGTGAGGCCTGGGGGCCGGGGCGGGGCGGGGCAGGGGTGGGGGTGGCCTCGGCCCCTAGAAGCGCCCTCAGCCCGTTCCCTGCCGTCGCACCCTCCTAGTGCTCAGAGGCTTGTGGCGGTGGCGAGCAGCGGCGTCTGGTGACCTGTCCGGAGCCGGGCCTCTGCGAGGAGGCCCTGAGACCCAACAGCACGCGGTCCTGCAACACCCAGCCCTGTACCAAGTGGGTGGTGGGGCCCTGGGGCCAGGTGAGCCGCACGCGGAGGAGGGGCGGGACAGGTGCCCGGCAGCCACCGCTCGGTCCTCCGCCCCAGGCGTTCCTTCTGGTCACCGCAGATGTGGGCGGTGGCCACACAAGGTCCCCGCCCTGCTGTTGGGGAGAGAGAAAGAGGACCGGGCGGGTTCTCTGGCGCGGAGGACTCGGGGGGGGGGGGGGTGAGGCCCCTGGGGGTGAGGCCCGAGGGGAGCACCCAAC